GACAGTGGACTCTGACTTTAAACTAAGGATCTTGGTTGATGACATCGAAATGGAGATCAGTCAGCGCCCCACCACTGACTTCATGAAAAGAAGCGATCCAGAAACTGCCCTATCATCAAAATATAAGGAAGACCGGCATCCTCAAGGCTACAAACTTTCTTACCCTCCTTCCACTGTTTCGTTACAAAGTCTCCATATTAAGACAGCTGAAGGGCAGAGATGAAATGAAAAGCATTCCACTGCATATAACAACATATATCCGGTTTATCCACTACAAACTAAAACATCGCATCATCGTTCGATGAGATTAACATGAAGCATATTCGAATCTTAGGCGAGGGTTTCGCTCGAAGAGTATGTCACAGTTTTCGAGTAACGTGCAACGCGACGCAAGCCAGGCCGAGCAACCATTGCAGTGAATCTATCGCAATCCGCAGACGGCGACAGTTAGGTGGGTGGGTGGGGGGGGGTGAAAGCAAAAATTAATGCATAGACATTATCAAAGCAATGCAATATTTATCAAAGCACCGCATTCTCTAAAATGCTATAGAGTTCTCGCTGCATAAATGACACAACAGTATCAAGTAGCAACGATGGGGATAGTCAAAATTAGACATATTATTTACGTATAGCTATCTACGGAGTTACGAATCTTGATCAGCCTATTTATACGCTGGTGATCATAGAGAAAAGACAGAAAAAACACGAGAGCAACAGCTTGACGAAGTTTTTCAACGATCTTCGTCCTACGCCAATCGAATAAGCACTAATGGATTTCAAGGCATAACAATACCAGATGTTCGATATATCTGAACTACATTATTATTACTATGCCCATTTCCCATCTTTCACATTTTTTATGGCTCAACCAGGAGAGTTCGTTTCTAGGTTCTATCATTCGGCGTCAAGATGAGAAGTTTAAATCATCGCAGTCATGATACTTTAAGCGCTAGAGAAAAAATGTCTAGCATGTTTCATTAACACAACACAGAACATACGATATACAGTGATAAAGCTTCGATTTACAGTGTACTCATAACACTTCAGGTGAACATCGAATCATTAGAACCAAAATTCTGATCGGAAACGTAGCCAAGATGGGACTATGAAAATCGTTCTTTCTTACACCAAGAGCGGTTCAATGAAGGGCAAACTCTGTGAACGATGAAAAGATTGAGCTCCAGATAATGTTTCGAAAAGAAAACAGATTGTGCTCAAATAGTTTTTGGAATAATGCCATATTTTTGTTGTTTTTCAGATTTGATTCTTTTCTTGTGCTGTTTGCCTCATTAACTGATTTTGCGCATATCAACGAAGAAAATAAAGGTGTATTCGCGATATCACAGTAGAACGATATTCAGAATTCAGCATCTTTGTTGGAAGTGACACTATCGATGTAAAGTTATGAATGACCACTGCTACCATAACGTGCTATAGCTTCATGGAGTGAAATGCCTTTTATCATATTCCAGGCATTTCAGCACATTTTCTACAAGTTCCTGAGAATGAATATGGAAATTACCGACTCTAGACAAGTAAGAAATTTTTCAGCCAAATAAAGTGCTGCGAGAAGGCGACTGCAGCAGAGTCATGAAGCCTGTGGTAAATATGATGATTCGACGACCTAACTTGAAGAGATCATAATCAGACGCCAAGTAACTCGGCAGAATTTTCAGCTGTGATGTTCTCGTTGTCTAGTCTGTTTCTTATGATCCTATGTATGACAGGAGGAAAATAGATCTCAAACAACTTTGGCGGAGATAAACTCATACTGTGAAGCCGTAGTGTCTTTATGCCATCAATAGCGACAAAATCTTCTGAGCTGTTACACAAGACTCGAATGGCCCTCCAGTATCTCGCTACCCGCCAGCATTATTCCAGCACTCTTTGCAACTTCCTTTAAATTATTTACAGCAAGCGTTTTCCAGAATGAGAACCCATTCGCATACTTTCAGCATGTTTTTTTTCAGATTTAGATACAGTAAAGATCGGTCCATAGTACTAATACGGGATGGAAATGGAAAAGTACTGAAAGATCACAGTCGTTGGAATATCTGTCTTCCTTACTCTTTCATGATGAGGTCATATCTGTATCGCTACTTTTCATGAAGTCGATAGTATGAAGCTAAGTCATCAGCCCCAGTGCCTTATTTTAAAGGCAGTATCAACAGCAGTTGCGACAAGTACAGTGTAATCCCCAGTTTCCTTCCAGGATCCTCATTTTTCAACCTCGTAAGGAAGAAAGGCGACTGACTTGACCGTGACTAGAACCCAGGACAAATCGATTCTGAATCCGATGTTCTACCGAAAAAGCGAACCTGGTCTTACCGAAAAAGAAGTCACATAGCTCATCTTAGATCTTCTGTCATACCCCTTTTCAGCATCTCTTTTGAAAGCTCTCTGCATAGACTTTGCGGGGTAGGTTGACTAAATAGACATCTGCCTCGGTAACTGCTGCATCTAATTTGTTCCTTTCCAGAACTGAACAAGTTGTTGGCTAAACGAAATCGACAATATACACTATTTTTTGTTTACTATACTGAATTCTAATATACGTTTTTCAAAATTCTGTGTTACCAGATAATGAACCGATTCTTCAGGTTCAGAATATCGGGGTCATGTATGCCATAGGTGAAACATCCTGCGGTTTCACGATACTTTACATCAGTAAAGCTAACTGGAGAAGATGCTGAAAGCAAAACAACAGATAAATCCAACACAAGATAAATCAGCATAAAATCACTAACTTGTTGGAATCAGGACTTCCTCGCCGCGAAGGCGGAAACAGGCGGCACACGTAACAGCAGTCATAACAATGGAAAGAAAGCTCAAAGTTGAAAAGGCACTAAATACAGCAAATACGTCAAGTATTTCCGTGCAAAATTAACACGTGACAGTGATTAATAGTTATTTTATCAAAACGGCATTTATGATAGAAATACACGGAAAACGACAATAACAAGATGCCGTCATGTATTCGATTCGGAAGAGCTGATAACAATCCCACGATATGAAGCCGAATTCCTATGTCAAATAGATTGCAACCTTGAAGGCGGGTCGCATTTGGCCGAAAATGTCATTTTATTGGAAAAAATATACGCAAGCAAGAGATTGCTTGTTGCTCACTTGTTCAGGGAACACCAGTATATAAAACCGTCTTCCGTGTATGGAAATTACGTGCCACTCAATGCTGAAAATCTTAAAAAGGTTGAAACTCACTAAAAGACCTGTACGTTTCTGAAACTGTTAATATGAATCAGACCGAATTATTCAAAAACAGGTTCAACGGAAGTTCAATCATTGGTTAAACGGATCTCTGAATCTTACTCGGATACTTTTGATTTTAAAGATCCAGAAATCTACTAAGGACGTACAAGTTTCAGAGATAATGTAGCCAGAGATAGAACCTATGGTGATTCTTGGATCTTGAAAAGTAACAGTCAATACCGCAAAATTTACACTCAGTGCTTTCTCGCTATCCGATTGATTGCGGTCTGCAAATAAAAGGAGAACAGTTCAAGTACCTCCGGGACGTGTTTGCGATGGGAAATAGGTGGAAGAGGTCCACTAGCGAAATGGAACTACAAGCGGATTTCTGCGCGAATTGGACCAACCGTTGTGACTAAAGCACAGCTGTGACTGAAGACTAAGCTTCTTGTGATCAAATCGATCCTTGTCTAGATGCTCACCCACTGTCATAAGTCGTAGACCATGAATAAAACACTCGATCCAATATACAATGACTAAATATACTTTCTGAGAAAAATCGTTAGCTCAAGAGTCTCGATACGGCGCACGTTTCACATTTCCGAGATAACTTTGGTGTATGGTCGCCGTACAGATCGAGAAGTCACAGCTGTGACGGATATGACACGTTTGCGAATATCTCCAGAAAGGAAGGCGAAACAAATACTGTTTGCCCAATCGACTGGTAGAAGACTCCGGAGTCTGCCAAAATAAACCTGGGACTTTGCTCTTTGACTTCTATCGGAACTTTAACAGGATCAGAAACGTCTGAAACACTGTCCGACGCCTATGTCTCTGCTAAATGAAAGGACAACTGGACATCGAAACTGACTGACTGATATACAATAGAAATATTCAGTGAAAGCAGCGTAGAGTATAGGGTAAAGATTGGATAGCGATGAAGCGGGCAGAAGATTGCGGAACCACTGATAAACTTCACACTAAATGAACATATAGCGAGTAAA